AATCAAACCATCAGCTGTATGATCAATAACTGAGCCTTTACTGCTCCACAGAGATTCAAGTATGTCACTCAAAGATCTTAACAAATCATAAAAACAAGGAGTTAATGTATTTGTACATACGTGGTATCTGTACCGCCGCTGCTGCTAACTCACGGTGGTGTATCTGCAAGACTGTGTGAAAACAGAATATAAATGTGTTGCCCAGTTGCTGGGCAATAAAAGTGGAAAAAGGGAGCGAGGAGTGAAGGGCAATGACTAAGATCTTTTCAGAAGTTCTTCAGGGTGTGTCCTCTTGTCATTTCAGACTCACGCAGGCTCAGACACTTAATTGACTCGCCATTATTCAGTCTATTTGGCATCTCCTGCTGGTCATCAATTCAGCCATTGGTCACTTCACTGATACAGTTGCTCCATTTAGTCTAATTTACTTCTCTATAAACTGCAATCCAGCCTCCGCCCTCATCTGCTTAAGGGCTCTGGCTTTACCCTCCGTGCCCACTGCTGCCAAGCTCATCTTCACATTCAGCCTGAACAGACTTGGGTGTGGTGCCTGTAAGGAGCCATATAATAACTTTAAAAAACAGCTTTGATATATTCCTGAAAAATCCCAGTGGCAATAATTATATTTCATGCTATTCAGATTTACAGCTGAAGTGGTTTGTCAGTGGCAAATTAAAAGAAACAGCAAGCTGGATCTGCTCTGGTTTTTTTTTTCTTTCCTCTCCTTCAAAGATTAAAGGGTTTAGAAAAGAAGAATATTAGAATATTACTGGCATGCTCTTTGAGCTCACACTGTCAATTTTTAATGTCTTTGTCTGCTTCAGATGTGTCTGAATCGTCAGTGCCAGAACGTCAGTGTTTTCGGCGTGCACGAGTGCTCAGCCAAGTGCAGCAGTCGAGGGGTGAGTGCCGCACCTTTCATCCTGTTTCACTGTTGCGAAGAAACCAATGTTAAAGCTGTCGATCTCAAACTAATCCCCACCCAGTTAATATCCCATTCCTCCTCCACAGAAGCTCATTCTGGCTTTAATAAGTACAAAATGCCCAGTACACATTGGATAGGGGGCCATTACAATGCCTCGCAATCAATCATTCTGAACGCCGAAAGGTTCAATCAATTAGCTGTAATGATTTCATTTATGTTCAACTTTAAGTGCCATTCATCATACTCTCGGGCAGTCGTCCTTGTCCCAAAAACGGCGCTGAAAACTGAAGGCCGGGCTTTGTTTGGCCAAATGCTGGGAGCAGTGACACACAGTTTGACTTTGAGCTGGGGGAGCATGGATATTGGATTTTTTTTTTTTCTTAAATGCCACCCATCAAACGTCTACGGGTGGTCCTGTTTGAGATGAAATACGTGGCTTTGCGGTATTAAATTCACCGGCGGGTCTCAGAGGCTTCGGCTGCGACTGGTTAACTTGTTCCTTCATTAAGAACACAAAAGAAAAGCCTCTTAAAACGAGACGTCTCCGGTTATTATACGGTCGTATTTGTTTGTGCAGCGCCGGTTGAGATATATCTATAAAACTCTGAGGGAATGTTTTACTCACTGGAACAAAAAGGATGTTGCTCCTTTTGGAGACAGGGCACCCCTGCATGCATTGATTAGATCAAGATGTTGCCTTGGAGAGAGGCCCTCACCTGTTCCGTATTACCCAGATAGGGAATCCTCTTAGACTTCACCATTCCTGCACTCTGCACGACAGGAAGACGACAGCGAGAGAGATTATAAAAAATGTGGTGTAAGGAAAAAGGGTCTGCTCTGTTTTTCTGTGTGTGTTTTTTTAACACCAGACGTCTTTGCCATGTGGAGCCAAGCGGTGCTGGAAAATCTGCAAATGTGCTTCAGGAGTGTTCATTGAATGTGTGATCTGGTGATGAAACAACACAAACAGATAGGAGGAAGAAAAATTAAATATTCACTTAACTTTTCCTGGTTTATATCATTGCAACCAACATTTCTTCAGGTTTTTGCAGTTGTTTTTATAGAAGATGCATTTCACAGCAGCCACCTTTGGTTTCTGGGAGCTACAAGAGGCTTTTTCCACCATTTTTAAAAAATATTTGTAGCTTAATTATTGGACTAACTGAAAAATAATGATAATGAAAATAACCATTAGTCGCAGCCCGCGTGAAGTCACTCAAGTCTGCATTCAATTTCATAAACATAACTCATTTGTCACCCGTTAAGTGTGAGCTGCAGAATGAAGACGTGGAGAGTCGGCTCGTCCTCTGCGCGCACATATACACCCAGTGAAGAAGATAAGCTGGTGGGCTCAGCTAACGGCTAATATGTCCTTTAATACGCTGCAGGTTTGCAACAACAACAAGAACTGTCACTGCGAGGCTCACTGGGCGCCTCCCTTCTGTGACAAGGCGGGTTTTGGAGGCAGCGTGGACAGCGGCCCCATCCGACTGGCAGGTACGTCGGCGGCTACGTCGAAGGCCAGTTTAAGGTCGTGTGATGTTTTGGGCACTAGAGTGTTTGAGCATTTCAGCAGAAGAATTCTTAGAATCTGCAAAGTTTGCAAAGACAAAACAGTGAAAGATAAATCGGCAGAGGACTGAGACTTTTCTCCAGTGGTGGCGTTACTCAAGTACAACTACTCCAATTACTGTAATTGAACCATTTGTGTGGGTATTTATAAAAACATCTTTTTATGTCGGTAAATTCACTCTTGCAGGCCTACAGTTTGAATTTCATTTGCAATTTTGCAATCAATAATGCCATCGGATTGCAAATGATCAACCAATAAGACCAACAAAGTCCTGCAGCAGCTACAGGTTTGACCATCAGAAGTCCAAACAAAGCAAGATAGAATCTGTTAACCTGGAAAACAGCTCCGGCAGACTCTGAACAAAAAGTGAAAGTGAAGTGTGTGCATGTTTCAGAGCCTCGCCTACTCCCAGCAGACGGCTCGTTTGCAGCAGATTCAAAATGATTTTCAGCATTCTTGTACCAGACAAAAACAAATCCTACTTTATCTGCAAGTATGTTGAAAATAATTTGCCTTAATTTGTTCCATTTATATCTTCTGTCTTTCTTTATATGAGACAAATGTGGTTTGTTGACAGTCAGCTGAGTGCATGCTGTAGACCAGGGGTGTCCAGTCCTGGTCCTGGAGGGCCACAATCCTGCATGTTTTAGATGTTTCCCTTCTTCCAACACACCTGATTCAAATGATCAGCTCATCATCAAGCTCTGCAGAAGCCTGATAGCGATCCTGATCATTTGAATCAGGTGTGTTGGAAGAAGGAAACATCTAAAACATGCAGGATTGTGGCCCTCGAGGACCAGGATTGGACACCCCTGCTGTAGACGATGCCTTAAACTAACACGGAGCAGTTTTGTTGTTAGTGTGAGTGAATACCAGTAAGTTTGTGTTGCTCCTCTTTGTGTTTGTGAGCAGGCAGCGGGACTCTGACGGTGGGCATCCTGGTGGCTCTGCTCACTGTCCTGGGAGCTGCTCTCATCATCTGCATCAAGAGGAAAACTCTGCTGGGCCTGTTGTTCACCAGCAAGAAGAACCCCATGGAGAAGCTCAGGTGCTTTTTCTGAGCATGCTAATTAAATTATTCATAAATGTCATGTGTCCTTTTTTTTTTTTTTTCCATGCAGCGACGTTTGTAAACGGTACAATCTGGGACAGATGCGGCAACGTCTCTTAAAATTGGTCACACTGTGAAACCAATTACAGCCTTTAATTTGTTTTGATTCCACGTTTTTGCATTATGTTTGGAGCTGACGCCTGATTAACATAGTAAAGTGTTGAGACGTCTCTGTTTCTGCTCTGCGTTACAGATCAGTGAGCGGACCGGCGGCTCCGAACCAGCCTCCTCCGGCGAGCACGACGTCGCCGTCTCGACCGGCGCCGCCCCTGCCGCACGGTGCCACCATCTTCAAGGTCATTAGGTCGCGCATCACGAATTCACACATTTTGCAGAACGTCTCACTCAGAGGATCAGCTGCGGATGATCTGTGCTGTAATGCTCTTCTGTGGAATGCCACAGCTGTTTCCACGGCACGGATCATTCTCAGCAGGACTGACGTGTTGTTTTCACACAAATGGCAGCTCATTCAAGTCCAATTTAACTCGCCCCTGTTTATGCGGACGCGTAGAGGAGGTGGTGGGAATGGGAGTCCGTGGCGAGCGGTGACACTTATTCCTCGTCACTACCAGCTGTCTGTTAGGAGTGAAGCTGATTGATCTGCACGTTGCTGACATCTGAAGCCATCCCGTGTGCCTACGACGCCCCAACTCGCTCCATTACCGCCCTGACACGCTTCGCAGTGGCGACGCCTGATCGATGGAGTTTGGGCCGCCGAAGGAGGAGAGAAACGGCGTTCAGGTTGCAGGGTGGCACAGAAAGCGAGGCAAGCTGTTGCTCATTACCACCAGATCGGTGTTTTCAGTTAGCGGCATGTGGTTTTCATTTGGGGTCAACGGTAAGAGGAGAAAGGATGTAAGGCTGTTTGATGTAAGCACAGTGCAGGTGAGGTCATTTTCCAGTTGTTGGGAGCTGTGTTAAACTGCCCGCATGAGTGCGCGCCTTTGTGTGTGTGTGTGTTACATTGTGTGTGCACATCTGGCCAGGGCCTAAATATCAGGCAGGCTCATGTTCTGGCTCGGTTCTACGTCTGAGCCGTCGCACTGGGAGCGTGTGTGGGCTCCTTAGCTGCGTCCACGTCTGAATAAAGGGACGGTTTTCTTTTGATAAGGCACCTTAGGAGGACTCGGAGAGCAGACCGAGTGGGAGCGCTTGATTTATACGCCTTTGACAGCATCAGGAAGAGCAGCAGAGGAAGAGGAGGAGGTTAACACGACTGTTTTCTGATAGGAAGCAGGCAGCGTCTTAACTGTGACTTTCATCTCTCTGCAGCCTCCTCACCGGGGGCCAGACTCGGGGCTCCCGCCGGCCCCCTATCCTGCCCACAGCCTGCGCCGGCTGCCCCAGTGCCCTCCGGTTCACCTCAGCCACCCGGTGCCCCTGTCCCTCACCCTGTCCCTGTCCCCGGGTCCAGCTCAGCCGAGACCCCCGGTGCCGCCGCCCCACCGGGCCCCTCCGCCCCACATCCACGTGGCGTCCAGGGGGGCGTCGTTCCGCAGTGCGTCACACCACAACTCCTGCAGGATGGTCATGGTGAGTGAATTTCCTGTTTCCTCACTTGGAAACATTTTATTTGATGATGTTACTTACTGTAATTTCTCTTCCACCACGTCTGGGGAGCTTTTTACCCGCCGCCCGAGCCTGTAGTGCCCAACGTGGGAAGCGATGATGTTTCAGGTTTTTCTTTTTGATGTCGGGGAGGCGTTTTCATGGTTCTTCTGCGTGCTATAAAAGCAGCAGGGCCGGTTGACAGCTTTGCACAGTGTCAGAAAATAACGGGAAAATAACCCAGGAGCTAGCATCATCCAAGCGAAACCTAAACTCTGCAACACAAACCTCCACATAAATAATGAAAATGGAGCCAGACTGGCAGGGAAGAGTGGCGGAGGGGAGCAGCAAGTATGTCCAAATATCACAGGGTGGGAAACTTGCTGCCACTACTATTCCATGGAGTTTAGTTATGGCATTGCAGGCTGTCAAAGTTGAGGAGAAAGCCGGAGGTTCACGATGTTAAATCCCTCTCGCTCAGTGATTCTCAAAGACTCTTATTTGCCTTTAATCCGGTTTGACTTGTACCCTTTGAGTCAGAGAGACTCAAAGGGCACGAGAAGAGAAAGACGGAGCGATAAAGAGGCAGACGCAGATCTGTGATAATCAGTGCAAGATTTCCTCAGTCGCAGATAAACAATGCGTTTTCTCACTCGTTTTTTTTTTCCCAGGCAGAGACTTCAAACATTCGCAGCTTCTCAGACTGGTGGATTTTATTCTTCTTGTTCATTCAATCATTGCAAATGAATGCCTTTTTGTTTTCAATGTTGCTCTGACAAACAAAATGTCACTTTAGCCTCTGGAAAAATTTTTTGATTAATTAATCAATTAAAAAAAAAGAAGAGGAGGAAAAAAATCACTGGTTGTGGCCTCAAAAGAAAGACAAGTGGGGGAAAAATAAGGGAAGGACAAATTGCAGATGAGAGACCAGCAGTGGGTTGCAGCCTGAAACTAGCCCTGAGTAGACTGTAATTTATGTCAGGAATTGCAGTGCAGCCTTTAAGGACTGCACTGAAAACGAAGCCTTCTATAAAAAGACTATTACGTAATTACTCTTTTCACTGATAGATGCTTTTTCATAATGCGTTCCACCACAGCACTCGCTCGTTTGTTTCCTAAGTGGGAAATGGAATAATGTAATGTGCTTTAAAGAAGATATTAGTGGGAATTAATGTGTTTGTTTTTCAGCAATTTTTTTTCTCCTGCGTATAAAAAAATGGTTGTAAACATTAAAAAAATGTCTTAATAGGAGAAGTTAGGATTGTTGACGAATGCTGCACATTGATAAGACAGAACACACAGAGACAGGAGAGTATAAAGCGAACATGGTTTATATATATTATGTGGTTTTTGCTGTAGACTATAAAGCATCGATGCCAGAGCTTCTTGGGTTTCTAACACCTGGCCGGCAGGTGAAACGCAGCGGCTCTTGGCAGTGTTTTGACTTCAGGAAGTCGACTCGTTCAGCTGCTCCTGTTTAACGTCAGAGTGTGAAAGTCAAAGTGATTCCTGTTGGCAGTCGCCGACAGTATCTTTAGCAGCTGTTTGGCAGCTCCGAGAAGCTCGCAGAAGACATAAGTCACGAGTGGAAAGCTCTCTGCTGGGGGGCTGAAGCGTTGTCCAGCTGGAGAGCTTCACCTGATGCAGCCGCCGGGTTTGTGGACCGATCTGGGTTGTGCTTTAACGAAGCTCTTCTCATTTACATCACTTGGACTCAGTGTGGCTCCGCTGCACGACAACATAACCCGTCAATGTGATGAACTAACAGCTGTCTATACGGTGACGTCTGAGGTGGTTTGAGGTTCAGTTCTTTGTCCATGTGTTGTTTGTGGAAGTTTCTCTCCAGCCAATGAGAAAACAAGGAAGTGAACAGGAACTAAATGTGGCTGCAAAACAGGCTTCTGTCAGGATTTTAGTCTTCTCTCTTCTCACCACATCTCACTTGGACAGAAGTGCCCTGGCATCAGGAAAATCAGACCCGGGCTTCATTTGTCTGACTCTGAGTGCCACCTGGTGGAGATCCTCAGTCATTATTTCCATGCATCTCTCCTCTAACAGGAGCTGGAGAAGCCCAGCCCTCCTCAGAAACCTCTACCTGCCGATCCGAGGACCTCTCGGATGGCGCGAAGTCCCTCCGTGGTGCAGGGCCACACGGTAATCCAAGCTCCAATCCTCGGTGTGCCCAGACCGGTGCTGCGGCCCGTCCCCCACCCCAACAGGTGAGTCCTAACCTTTACCACAAATAGTAAAAAACAACACAGGGAGATTATTTTAACACATCCCTTTTTCCTCCAGGTCGAATCCCAAGCAGCCTCCAACTCTACCAAAGCCTTGCATAATCGCCAACGTCAAGTACAGCAGCTGAGACTTTGGCCAGGAGGGACATTGTTGTGATGAAGACACACAGACACACACAATAAAAAAGAGAGACTATTTTGCACTATGAAAACTCTGACAACCTTAAAAAAAACAAGGAAAAAAAGGTGGTGGCTTCTCTGAGTTTTTGAATCAGCAGATCTGCCGTGTCCCTTTGGTGCTCTGCCTCTGAATGGTGCTACGAGTCTGAGCTCAGGTACATGTAAAGTATTTATATTGTGTATTTATTGCCACGCAGTGCACTGTGCCAGACACTTTTACTACACGGTAGCAACTTTGAATTATTTTTTTGATTAGTTCTTTTTTTTTTTCTTCTTCATATCAGCTGATTTATGAAGGAGACTTTTAAAAAAAAAAAAGAAGCTAATCTGTGAAATTGTGATATTGCAGGAATGTTTTTTTGTGTTTTAATGAAGGGAACATGAAGGTTTTGTTCTGTACATGAAGAGTTTAAAAACAGACTTATTGTGCAATGACAGATGAGACCTTCAGACAGCATTTGGAACCCGATGGAGGTTTTTTTTCTTGAAGGCTAATGTTCTCCGTAGCAAATTTGAGCCAGTCTGACGAGGCTTGAAACAACCACAGAGTGAAAAAAATCGGTATCACTGCACCGGTTCTGCGATTTGTTCCGCAATCAGTTTTTTTTTTCTCCCCCTTCCTTGTTTCTTCTTTCATTAATATTACGAACAAGTTGAATTGCGAAATGCCACTGGTTTGCCATTTCCTTTTCAAGCTCACTTGAGGGATCCGAGGTTTGAACCGAACACAGATCTGAAAATGAGATCAAGAAAGTTTTTCATCCCTTGGAGGATTTCTCGAAAATATTTGCTCCGCTAAAGGTCGTGTGTGTTTTGAGTATTTCCTCCTCCCCACCTCCAACTCTTTGCCTGTTTACACCGAGGACTCCTGATTAAATGAAGGACTTTCTTAAAGCCGCATGTAAACGCTTGCTGTCTGGCTACAGTATTCATGCGCGGAGGGTTTTAAATCTTTCTCTTGATGGTTGACACGAGATTAAATTGTTCATTTTCTAGCTTTTATATCTTTTTACTTTAAAAAAAAAGAAGCACTCTTAATGAAATTCAGCATAAATTGGAGACAGGAAGTGATCAGCTGTGGCAGAATTAACATTTTACTGGATTGCAACGCAGCATTCACATCGTTTCCTTTAAGCACAGCTCACGAGTGGCTGCGAACCGGCAGAACTTTCTTACGTTTTGATACTGCTCTCTTTATATCGATGCACTAGTTTTACATCCATGGCTTTGTTTACTTTTGCTTTTCCAACGCTTTGTGTCCCGATAGGCAGCATCTGAGGAGTCACCTGTTGTCTGTACACGTTCCTCGTATGTTGTGTTACAGGTGAACACATTTCCAAGGAGAATGCTTTCTTTTTTTTTTTTTTTAAATGATGATTGTTTGATACGTCATATGTACAAAAAAAGAAGAAGTGTCAGTGTCCGTTCATGGTATTTTGAACACTCGAGCAGTATTAGTAAAAGCGTCTTTCAAACACAGACGAGCGTTTGATTTTTTTGTGGTATTTCCAGCGAGATGTGAAAAGGTCAATCATAGAGGAGAAGAGCGATTATTATTTCTGTGTTAAAAGCTTTTTACTTTGAAATGGAAAAGACACACGACATTTTCACAGCTCTGCTCGGAAGATAAATACAGATATTTTACAGTATTTTAAAGCCTCAATTGCTTTGTATTTACAAAAAAAAACTAACTGTTTTTTTGTCTGGAGCCCCCTGGCATCTCTTTTATGCTTAAGCCAAACTGCAAACCAGAAAATTGAATACTGAACGCCGTAACAGGAGTAATTTAACATTTTGCAGCAGTATTTATGTTCAGAAAAAAGGTCTGAGGCTCGGTGTTGGTTTAAGTGTTTAACACGGGCAGCTGGAACAGTTTATTTTTCCAGCCTGAGCCTTTTGTCTAAGAAGCAATTTGACAAGGTCTTTGTAAGGGATAAAAAACAAAGAAAGAAATAATAATACTCCTTGAATCAATATAGTTATGGGATTGTGTGCTCACTGTCGCCTATTAGGGTTTTGTTGGAGTCAAGTGTATTTGATTAAAAGGATAAAACAGTGCAGAAAAAGGAGAAACAGATTCAACAAGGACACAGAGGGCCGCCGATGAGAAGCTCTTCAACCAACATCATCCGCTTGAAGCCACAAAAGGACGGAAGAAAAGTTAATTGACACAGAGGTTGTCTTAACACTAAGTTTAATAACTGAGCTGCAGGTCTGTTTTTGGCTAAAACAGACACTAAACACACCGGAGATCTTTGAATTTGTCTGATTATCAAACATTGGTGAAGTGTAACTAAGTAGATTTACTCAAATACTGCAGTCAAGAAGGTTTTTTATGGTGTTTTAGAATTCCATTCCATCACATTTTGGAGGGAAATGTTGTATTTTTGACTTTTAAAATGACAATTTTACACAATTGATAATATAACAAACACATAGTTAAACATTAAACCAGTCTTTTCAAACCTTTTTTGACTTCTGACCTGTTACAAAAAGCTAAATATAATTCAGATGTCTATGATTTGTTACCAGCTCCATTAAGCAGTGATTTTTTTTTCCCCCTTTGAATTCCACACTTGGTTTTAATTTCAATGAAAATAACCAAAATCCCACCAAAAAATCTAAGATTAAAGAAAAACTTTGGCCACTTAAAACAGATTTGTGGATCAGAATCTCTTGTTTTTTCTTTCCTCTCTCAATAATCATTCGACAAACCCACATTTATCTGCTGTCCCTGTGTGTAAAACTTTCTATGAAGCAGTTTAAACTGTGCTGCCAGCACAATGATGCTTCATAATCTAATAAGGTCACGTATGATCAGCCAGACGGACCAAACCAGTCATTTGACTTTAATACTTTAACCACATTTGGCTGCTTACACTTATGTACTTTTGCTTCAGTAAAGGATCTTAATGCTTTCTCTAATTATGGGGGCCAAGTGCTGCAACAAGCTCCAGTTTGGAGGCTAAAGCAGACTGAAACTGGACTCATAATCATTAAACAGCTCCCTCTTGTGGACAATCTGCAGCTGCAACATTTGTGAGAGTTCAAGTAGTTCAACCCTGGGTGCTTTACATTTAATTAAAAATAAAGCCAGCAATTAAAACAGCTCTCCTCCTCAGCAGTCTTCTACTCGTAGAAGCCAATTAGCCACTTAAACTTTGTCCTTTTTTTCCCACTTATATGTTATCTCATGATTTTGAGAAAGTTTGCCATATGGTGGGATTTAAATATAAATCTCCTGGAAGAGAAAGAGCAAATAAAATACCACAGAGTTCTGAGTGAAAAGATATATTTGTGTTTATTTTTAAGTGGTAGAAAAAAGCTTCCATGAGGACACAGAACGTCAATTTTTTTCCTCAACATTACAAGAAAAAATATTTTTTTAGGATATTCTGGATGAACAGCTTGACCGTCCTCACTACTTTCCACGTGATATCTTGGATAATATTCCGGGGATTATGACAGGCTCAGGCCCACTGCTCGCTGCTCAATGTGAAGCTCTATGCAAATGAAAACACGTGTGAAGCCACGCTGGGGAGACAATTACGCACCGGTGCGCACTGCGCGCCAGCAAGCCCCAAAGTGAACATCTCCAAACTTTCCACAGCTCAGTAAATATCATTTTTTAGCAATTTGGAAACGGAATTACTCGCCGTCTACTCCGTGAAAGCAGAGTATGTGGTTTAAACTGGACTTAATCGGTTTTTGCACGATTTGAAGTGAATGGACCTGCAGCTCCGGTGGTAGGAAAAAAAAAAAACCTTTGTGTGCGCTCGTCTGGATAAATATATATGTGTCATGTCTGAGGAAAATAATTCGGCAGAGCCAGAAGTTCACCCTGAAAGTGAAGAATGTCCCGGAGAAGATTCATTTGGCTTTGGAGATGATCTGGAGCTTAACCGGTTCGACGGATTGCCCTTTTCCTCACGGTACTACAAATTACTAAAAGAGAGGAAAGCTCTGCCGGTGTGGAAGGTCAGGTGCCAGTTTGAGGATGTTCTGGTCGACAACCAGCTGGTTATTGTGTCTGGGACAGCCAAGACTGGGAGGAGTACGCAGGTAAGACTACACAGTGTGTGATCTTATCTTTTAAGAGGATGTTTTTCAGACAGAAAAGCTGCCTTTCAGCTTGGAGATGCAGAAGTTCCGGTTCATCAGCACAGTTACATGAAATCTCTATTTGAAGGTTCTTTGAAAACTTGGCACAAAAATATTGAATTCATCTCCTTTTACTTCTTCTTTTCTCTGTTTAGATGCACTTTCATTCCCTTTAAACTGAATACAAAAGCAGTTTTTATAAGTGTCCCACTCCTCCCTTAAGCTCAGTCATTAAATCAAGACAACACTGAGAATCAGGCCCCTTTGCTTGATATCACTGGGAGGTGCTACCTTCTGAGTTGTTGTTTTTTGCCCAGCATTGCTCTGCTTGTGTGAACAGAAGCTGCCCAGCTCAGCAGATGCTGTTGTGTCACAGTGAGGCTGTCCAAGCTCCTGCCTGCCTGCTTGCCTGACCGTCAGCGTGCACAAAGGCTCCAGCCGGGGTGTTATGGGACCTCCTGCTGCTAAGCCCTGATCCGCTGGAGCCTCCACATGCTGCCAAAGCAATTTTGCATTATGAACGATAATACCATTGGATATCTCCTGTCACTGTTTGTTTTGCCGCGCGCTTAAAACAAAAGCTGCTGGTTGTAATCCTATAAGGACCATCAGTGCTGAGGAAACAAAGTGGATGTGATAGAAAACATCCTGTTGGTAAATGTTTAATGCTGCGTCGGGCCTCTGAAGCACAGTTCACTGTCAAGGCCTATAAAGACGTGTGAAAAAGGTGAACAGCCCTTTTTGTGCTTCGTGTTCTTTCAGATCCCTCAGTGGTGCGCCGAGTTCTGCCTGTCGGCCCAGTACCAGCACGGCATGGTGGTGTGCACGCAGACCAACAGGCAGCAGGCCGTGGATCTGGCCTTACGCGTGGCTGACGAAATGGATGTCAACATAGGCCATGAAGTGGGTTACACCATCCCCCTGGAGACCTGCTGCTCATCCGACACCGTTTTGAGGTTTGTTGATGAGCTTGATAGAATCCACAAACTGCTTCTGTCACTTTTCATCTTCAACTCCTCTCACTCATACATGCAGGCAGGAGACGGTGAACACAGAGCCCTGCCTCACATATGAGAACTAAACTGTGCATTTATAGGTCAAATATTCATCTTTTCTATATCGGTGTGTTCAGGGTTTGAATCAAACAAAGCAAATCATCTGAAAACATGTTGTGTTCTGGACACTTTTTATTCATTTCTGACATTTTATCAACTCTACACTTAATCATACAAGGGCTAGGATTGACAACAAGCATCCTTTTAGGTCACTTTCCACAAGCTGCGCCATGTAAACGATGCCTCACGCTAAGTCATTATTATTATTTCATGCTACATGCACAGCGTTTTCCCAGCAGGCCGTAATGTAAAGGAAACCAGTGGGTCATCAGATCATCAGAGGCCTTTTGCTCCATCGTCTCTAATTTGCTTGAAATGATTTCATCATAAATTGTGGGTATTTAAAATGGTAATTTTACATTAATATATCAAGTACTAGGGGCTGCAAGGTGGCAGTTGGTTAGCACAGTTGCCTCGCAGCTAGAAGGTCGCTGGTTCGCATCCCGGTGAGGACACCCGGGATCTTTCTGCGTGGAGTCTCCATGTTCTCCCCGTGCAGCGTGGGTTCTCTCCGGGTTCTCTGGCTTCCTCCCACAGTCTAGAAACATGCTGAGGTTAATTGGTGATTGTAAATTGTCCGTAGGTGTGAATGTGAGTGTGCTTGGTTGTCTGTCTCTAAGTGTAGCCCTGTGATAGACTGGTTACCTGTCCAGGTGAACCTGCCTTCACCCTGAGTCAGCTGGGATAGACTCCAGCCCCCCATGACCCTGGTGAGGATTAAAGTGTAGAGATGGTGGATGGATATCAAGTACTTTGCGATATAAATTGTGATGGTCTGTTCTACTCGGATCAGGCCATCTACCAACAGTTTTGTTGTCCTTCCTGTTCAATCCCTTATTACCTTTCAACAAAAACTCACTTCACATTCCTGTGACCAGGTTTTTAATATTAAAAACTATCCAACATGTTTTGTTTTGTATTAATGTGACATATGGTTCAGAAAATATCACCAGCTGACTTCTGCAGTTATTTTGGTTAACGTGTCAAAGATGGGATTTTGAACAACGGCTTCACTTCGCTCATAATCGGACACTATTTGGCGTCCAACACTGGAGATGCTGAATCAAGGACATGATGAGAAATGACATTTAGAATTTCAGGTGTGTATTGTTAACAGTTCCTGAGATAATGTTCTTCAAGCACAGCTTTCATTGGTCGAGAAAATGTGCTGAAAGTGGGTCGAAGTTGAAAACCAAAAAGATCATAGAAAGTATTTGAAATGTCAAGATAAAATTTTTTGCAAATATCTTTATAAATATCAATATATTATGCCATAAAAAGTCCTGAGTATCAGAAATGGTTGTTGTTAAAGAAAACTGATGAGTTGAGAATAAATGACTCCTATGTAGTGACAGTGTTCCAATTACGCGCTAGAATTTAACGTCATAAGCAATAAAACACGCTTTCTTAACTTACCACACTGAGATATGTTTCCTGGCCTAATATAAGTCATTTAAAGTGGCTAAAAACTGTATTTTTTATAACAAAAATATACTAAATGACAGTCTGACACTGCAGTCACCAATTTTTTTGGCCAATACAGGGCCGTCATTTTCGGTGAAAAAGCTCTAAAACTTCCCAGCACACGACCTGCTGAGCACTAAATTTGGCAGCTAAGTGGTGAACATGGTGTTTCACAGCTGGGATCTTTTGTTGAGACCTAGAATAGGGTTAAAAGAGAGCGAAAATTGGTCTTACAGTCACCAGTCGGCCACATAAAAGATGATTTTGCTCCAGTTTTTGAAGGAACACGACAAATAAGCATCTATTTTCTAACAAATTGGCCTTAACGACTTAAAAAATGTCACTTGAACTTGAAAAGTTTTTACTTTGAGCAAGTGGCCAGAAAAATCAGTTGCAGTTTTAAAGCAACAGACTCAAGCGAAAAAGTGAGAAACTGACCTGATATCTTGCGCCACTGTTCAGCAGAAGTTCCCTCTGTATGATAATACCAGTGCCGGATTGCTTCATCAGGTACTGCACCGACGATATGCTGCTGAGGGAGATGATGTCAGACCCTTTCCTGGAGCACTACGGGGTCATTATCATCGACCAGGCCCACGAGAGGACGGTCAGCACCGACATACTGCTGGGTCTCCTCAAGGACATCTTGCTGCAGAGGCCCGAGCTCAGGGTGGTGGTCCTCACTGTCCCGCCAATGACTGACAAGCTGCTCAAGCACTACGGCAGCATCCCGCTCATCAGCCTGGAGGCCTCGTGCCCTGCCGAGGTGGTCCACAGCAACAGCAGCAACAAGGACTACTTCTACTCAGCGCTGAGGCTGGTGCTGGAGATCCATCGAACCAAAGAGGGTGGAGATGTTGTCGTGTTTTTTGCCTCAGCGGAGGTGAGAGATTTCACTAGATGAATGCTTGTAGCTCTAAATTTATTTTCCTCACTGTGGGCTCATTGTTTACGGCAACATAAAGTCCTGCACCTCTATGGAAACAGGCCAGAGGTAAAGAGAACTCAGAAATGTGTCCTATGCAGTGTCACAAAGTACAGAGACCCGGAAGGGACATGGAGAAAGAAAAAAACACGGAGAGGAAGAAAAAAATAGAGGTATCTTTTGTGAGATCTTGCAAAACTTTGTCTGGATCTAGCTAGCAGGACATCTTATCTGATCACGTCCAGAGCTGATTGGCACAAATATACCAGAGTACGGGTCGCTGTCCTCCATTGTTGTTTCTTCATCCTGCCAAAAAGAACCAGAAGTAAATATACCTATAGTTTTGTTGCAAACGATACCTCTATTTTTCGTTCTCCATGTCCCCTCCAGGGCTCCGTAACAAAGCTATAATGCCATTTTAAAAAAAACAAACATTTTTTTGATTGCTTATTTTACCAAAAAATAGAAAAACCTTGAATTACTATGGACAGCATTTCCTCCATAGTTTTCCTCCATGTGCCCACAGGTTACACCAATATTGGTAAATGGTCAATCTCCATAGTACAGATATTTTACATGTTTAATTCAGGTCGTACTTATTTCCTACCGGTTCCATGTGAACGCTGACGGCAGTTCAGCCCAAAAGTTACTGATGCTTTTGTCACATGAATGTTGGTCACATCTGAGTCATTTATGAGTTCAAGGTTAGACCAGCGAATAAACTATATTTAGTTTTTTTTGCAGAATCTGATAACAGCAAACTCTTCATTTTTGACTCATTTTAAAATAAGACTTTAAGTAGAAATTGACTTTGGTAGAAAATTATGATTTAAGCTTTGATTTATTTTTTCAGATTAAACAGCACTTTATAGATGGGTAGTTCAAGGACTGTTGTAAAGTTGAACATTTTAGGATTTTTCTCTGTTTTTAGAGTTTTCAACTCTGACAAATGGTCTCATTTTGGTGATTAACAAAAGGAAAACGTAACCATGCCTTTCCATCCTACTCGACTGGTGGGTTTTGGGTCTCAGAGGGTTAACAAATCCTCAGCTGTGCTTGTCATCTCTCCTGCAGGAGGTCCACTGTGCCTCCAGCATCCTCCAGAGAGAAGGCACCAGGCTGGGAGGGGAGCTGGACCAGCTGGTGCCCATAGTCCTGTGCCCGGGCCCAGGAGGGCTGGTGCCGGTCCTGACCGAGCAATCGGGCTCCACGAAGTCCAGGAGGGTTTATCTCTCCACCCAGCACGGGGAGGACGTGTGGTGGGACACGGAGTCGGTCAACTTTGTTATCGACACGGGAGTCCAGAAAAAAATGGTAAATGACAATTTCCTGAATGACGACCTTAAATAAATGTTCTGCTGGTATAAATTTAGTTTCTAACTTTCTCTGTAGGTGTACAATCCCAGAGTAAGAGCTTTCTCTGAGGTCCTTCAAGCCATCAGTCAGTGTCAGGCAGACATACGCAAGCAGCTGTCTGGACCAACAGGTAAAACATTAAAAGTTTCTGATTAGAAATAAGTCCTCTGCACATTTTTTATTAACATACAGCTGAGTCAGATGCTTCTCATATCAGAGAAAGTGAACTTAAGAGACTGGAACACACCGTGGTTCTTTTCTTTCTCATAGTTTCCAAGTTTAAAAAAACTTCCAGGATTAATCAACTTTATCTAAAGCTGCCATTGGGTACTACAGCCTTACTGAACTTTATTTCCTAGGTAAATGTTCTTACTGAACTTTATTTCCTAGGTAAATGTTCTTACTGAACTTTATTTCCTAGGTAAATGTTTCTGCCTGTATCCGGAGGCGGGCCCTGCAGAAAGCTCCCCGCAGATCCTGGAGTCCAACATCACCCCAACAGTGCTCTTCCTGAAGCGGGTGGAGATAGCCGGGCTGGGGCAGTGCAATTTCATCGACAGACCAGGTGAAGCATCCTCCCGGAGGAAAATTGGACAGGTCACCATGGCAACATGATTCACGATAACAAGCGGTTTTATTTTTGTGTCGCCGAGTTCCCACAAGTGACATCTCTCTCTCTCCCACACAGCCACAGAGGTGTATGTGGGAGGGTTTTTTTTTTTTTTTTTTTTGGCTGGAGGAAGTGCAGATGAATTTGCCCCGTTGTAACTGTTCGGGCCCGGTCATCCGTGATTTAGCCGAGCTGACAGCTCAGCTACGAGCCATTGTCCAGGCCCTGACCCACCCTAACATGAACAGAGCGGGCTAAAAGAGGCCAGCTCATTAACGGTTACACAACATGTCTTGTTCAGTGCAGCGCCAGACGAGCACAAAGAGGAGGAAGTACGGGCCAAATATACCGTAATATCTCTCAATTCGTGGAAAAATCTGGCACGAAATTCACTTCACACAATGTTGTTCACATTATTCTGGTGGGATACGTTGGTATTGGTGACTTTTTATGCTTCTATCGGGGAGGAACGTTCTGTACATGTCAACTGATTAACAGTGACCCACAAACTGCGACATGCCAGCATGAACCAGGTCCTACAACAGGAAGTCGCTGTACAGCAAAAAGCAAAAGGGTGATACTTCTCAGAGAAACTAAGCCCTAAATTTGCTGTGTCATCCCTTGTGTCAGATCCTGAGGGTCTCATGCAGGCGCTGGAGGAGCTGGACTACCTCGCAGCGTTGGACGACGACGGCAACTTGTCAGAAATCGGCATCATAATGTCTGAAATCCCTCTGGAGCCTCAGATGGCCAAAGCTCTGCTGGCGTCGTGCGAGTTCGACTGCGTGAGCGAGATGCTGACGATCGCCGCCATGTTGTCAGGTACGAAACCGGACGTCCCACGTGTTCAGCTCAAGGTCAGGATGAGATCTGTTCCTCCTCATGAGTGAGGACCAGGTGGACGAGGTTGTTGTTGTTGTGGCTCCTCGGCAGTTTCTCAGAACCAGATGGTCTCTGGTGAGAGTGGCTTGTCTGGGTGATGTTGACCTTTTGTTTTTTTTTGTTTTTTTAGCGCCAAGCTGCTTCCTGGAGCCATCTGCTGGCTTGACCCGCGAGGCGGTGCAGTGTCACAGGAAGTTCCAGCACCCCGAAGGCGACCACTTCACCCTCGTAAACATCTACAACGCCTTCAAACAGAGCCAGAGGGAGCAATGTAAGAACAGAACCAACCTCCTCTCGTACAAGATCAAACTTTTAAACATGTGTGGTGGCTTGAATCTGAATCACAGTCTGTTCTCTATTGCGGAAAAACTGCAGAACAAATCAAACTTTTGTAGTATTGAAGCTAGTATCGTCATAAAAAGGCTAGTTTATTTGCAGGGCACAGTTTGCAGACTTCACATTTCACTTTTGAGGGAATTAAAAGCATCATAAATTATCTAAGATCATTCTAAAAATTGACTGTCAGCATTAAGGAAAATGTAAAAGTTAATGCAACAGAATAATGCAATAAATAAACAGTTTGATTCAATCAATTAAGGATGTTTGCCATTACTGTTAACTTTGCTAAATCATATTGATCTTGAGTTGTTGGGCATTAAACACTCTGGTTTAACTGTATTATGAGCATCAATAAGCTGATTTAGTTTCGAGGAAAACTGTCCAAATGCCATTTTTACTGACTTTTTTATGTTTTTGCAGACTTGACAGTTGAAAAGTGGTGCCAGGACTACTTCCTGGACTATTCCTCCCTGAAGACAGCCGACGCCATCAGATCAGAGCTGACCGACACTCTGAACAGAATCGAGCTTCCCATTTCTGAACCCTCGTTTGGAACCAAGACCAACACTCACAACATCAAAAGAGCTCTGCTGGCTGGATTCTTCATGCAGGTACTGAGTGTGTGTATATATAAACTCTAATGAACCTGCATCTTGTGGGTCAGTTTACTCAGGTGTTTGTTTTTTCTTGTCCCCAGATCGCTCGAGACGTGGACGGATCAGGAAACTACTTCATCCTGACGCACAAGCACATGGCCCAGGTGCACCCGCTCTCCGGCTACGGGGCTCAGTCGCACAAGCTGGGCCTGCCGGAGTGGGTCGTGTTCAACGAGTACAACCTGTCCGAAAACAACTGCATGAGAACGGTGTCTGAGATTTCCCCTCAAGTGTAAGTCGATCTCTTATTCCGCTCACTGTCAGACGTGCACAAGCAGATTATAAATGAGTTCTCGTGGATTATGCTTCCACGCTCCGGTGAGACAAACATGTTTTCGTCTGATCTAATTTTAAATCACATCTTTTTAATCCTCTTAAAAATCTCCACGGCAGCCGCTTTTTTGTTTTTAAACACAAAATATTCTCACATGTTTTGCTTTTTATATTTTCCAAAAATACTCTCATTTTCTGTTTCAGGTTCATCCAAATGGCACCGCTCTACTTCTTCTACAACCTGCCCCCTAGTGAAAGCAAAGACATACTGCAAGACATGTTGGACCCGGAGGCGTCGAAAAAGGAGAAGAAACGACGAGCAGCAGCAGCCGCCGCCGTCGACAACGGCTGCACAGCGGTGACGCCGAGTTACGACAGATGCGTGATCCAGTGAAGTGAAATCACGAAACAAGGTTCTGCAGCCAACAGCGCTTGTGAGATCTTTGTAGTCGACGCGAGCCAGAGACTGAAATATTTATTACGCGGCTTAAAAGTTGTTTTGACGGGTTGCATGTACATGACTCAATCGTGTGCAGAGTCCAGTGAGTTGGCATGATGTAAAAAGTAGTAAATACATCGTGGACACCTTTTATCAGTCGTGCTCTAATACAACAGACGTAGCCTTCTTGTTTACTTCCGAGTGCTAGAATATACATTTTCCTTGTCTGTGTTTTTTTTATTTTTTTCCTCACCTTGCTCTGCTCTTCCCATCAACACTGGAAATGTGCATATCTTGACAGTTTAGGATTTAATGAGCAGCAGAGGGGCTGCGGATGGATGCTGCTGTACTTCAAAAAGGGAGAAAACACCAGAACACACTTCTTCTTGTCCACATAACTAGGATTCAGATTCAAAGAGGTGGACTCACACCTACATGCATGTACAGGCTGCTGGAGTAGTCATTTGTCACCGTTTCCAGGTGTCGTACATTCAGGCTGCCGTGGTGCAAAAGCGTCTGGTTTAAAAGATGTATGAAATAACTTGCTGCCAGATTAAGAAGGCTAACAAATGTGAAAGCATGCAAAGGCATCATTTATTAAAGAGCACTGCGACAGAATCTACAGAAGTAGAAGTTACCTAAGAATTTGCTTCGTTTTTTGAAAAAAAAGACTTGATGTCTGCAGTTTAGTACAAACTTATGAAAATAATTGTCCTAAAATGCAAAACCTGAACTGCTTTTGAAGGGAAAACAGCTGAATTTAACTCTTAAAAATCCATCTGCTGAGACCGGACATCAAAATCACTCAGAAATTGTAATTTTTACTAATTGATGTAAAAGTCCCTGCAGAAACTATTGCTGCTATATTTCTATACATAAACATTTTGGAACAGTTATATATATTTTGCAATAATACAGTATGTGTTGAACTACTTCCTGTCCGTCTTAAGTGAAGCAGGAATCTGTAAAAACAGTGTCTCTAAAAAGGGACGTAGGCTAAATGTCAGATTTACAACACCGGCACTGCTCGGGCTGTAGTCTCCAGGTTGACACGCTCTGATTGGCTGGACGATTTCCAGTGTTATCTTCACAAGGTGGTGGTACCTGTGAAAAACTTTGAACTGAGCCCCACCTAGTGGAGACGGCAACCTTTTAAATGTTAATTAGGAGTCTGACTACAGCCCGAGACACTGCCGTTGCTGAAGGTACCGAAACATGTTCTTTTAGGTCAACTGAAGGATTTCCACGAGCCTGAAAGGTCTTCAGTGTGTCTCTCGGTTTATTGCGAGCTTCACACAGTTAGATATTCTTTGAGTTTGTCCATAATGGCGGGCATTCTGTCTGTGGGGATGAGCATCACTGTCCTGAAAGGCTTCATGGGTACGTCGTCGAACGACCACCTGCCGCTCAAACAGGAGTCGGCCTCTTCCTGGACTGAGTAGTGGAACTTGATGATGGCTTGCTGGAAGGAGAACACAAATACGAATGTGTTATCACTTCTTTCTACACTGGAGATATTAAAACTGTAAAAAATTAAATACATTAAGGCTTGCTTATGAAATGGCAGAAAAAAAACAAGATCTTTTATCTGAGGTAAGTCCATGAGCTGTACAGTGTTATAATCCAGATACTGTTAGTAGGGAAATCATTAAACATTTCTGTTCAAATCTGACACTCTGCTTGGATTCATTTGACTTTACCTCATAGAAGAACTCCTCCTCGGCATTGACGAACATGTATTCCTCTTTGGGAGCTCCTCCTCTGGCTGGGATGCTCTTGGTTGCCTCTTTGCAGGTCTTGCTGATCATGAGGCAGTAGTGACACCTCCCGCTGGGCTTGTTCGTCCTCTGAGCTTCAGCTATTTCTTCCCTAGAGGACAGTATCACGCTCAGTTTATTTCCATGCACGCTACATCTTCAAGTTTGCAGTTCATATTATTAAAATAGAAGGAAATAAACAGCCAAAGTAAGAACTCACTGGAGCTGTTTGTGCAGAGGAAGGGCAATCTGTGGAGGGACGTTGATGAAGCGCTCGCTCAGCAGCAGCCCCACAGGCTTGCTGGTGTCACTGAGGATCTGCTCCAGCTGCTCCGTCACACTGTGGGTGGCGTTCTTCTCGCACTGGTCCACAATGAGCTCCTTCACGTCCTCCACGCACTGCACACCCTGCCAAAAGCATCAAACACACACAAGTTTCACAGATATTTAATTTCCTGTATGTATATTAGTATGTGCCAGTCGGTACAGCACCAGTTTAACAGCTCAGGACGGCGGTGATTTGGCGTGAGCAGCAAACCTTTGTGTCTTTTTTGTTCCGTGATTCTGAAAGCTTGCTCATCACAGACCTGAGAGCTGTTTGTTACACACATCAGACTGGTTTTGTCACCGGAGGCCCGGCCAGGTAAAGGTTTTGTTACCAGCACTTTTGTTCAATTTCAGGTGCAGTAGATGTTTAGACATCAGATTTAGGGGTGCTACTTCTGCCTGTACCTTCAATTTGGTTTGTTTAGTGAGTTTATGGCACTCCAGGATTCATTTCTTTTGTTGTAAATATATGAGAGGAAGAAGCCCTACTACTACAGGTACAATAATTTGCGTAGCTTCCACTAAACCCTGTATGACCCATATCAATTTATTGTTATCTCAGAAGACCTACTTTTGTCTACCAGCTGTCTCACCTTTCTCTCTGTAAGGTTGAGCATCGAGATGAAGCCAAACACTTCATCTGGGTCGTCATCATCGCTGTCTTCTGGTACGTCTGCTTGCTGGAGCAAAGTGAGAGGATGAGTGAATGTAAATACGTTAGAGCTAAAACTACTACAAAGTCACTTGAAAGTATGATTAACTACAGAATTACTCACCTTGATGACACTACCAACATGATTCTGTTGGATGATGATGTCGGTCAGCTCTGATGTATTTACATGAGCCTTCAGGAAGACCTGGAGCCAAACACAACACAGGTGACGTCAGTGGCACAACACCAAATACTTACATGTACATACAATAATACAGAAATATAGCAAATACTCTCACAAACCTGTTGCAGCAGTTTCTTAATGCCGTTGAAGTCGTTGGCTGAAATAGTGTGTGCTTCAAAATCCACAACGACCTCCTGACAAAGCAGAGAGCAGTCAGCACAGGAAACAAGAGAGTTTTACTAAAGTTGTGTTCTTTTGTTGTTGTTGTGATGCTACGTGTGTAATCAAGTTATTACAAGGTACACAAGTCAAGATAAAGTACTAAAGTAACGCTACATAAGAAATTCAGGTTCATGGAATAGTAGGACCATTCATTACTTTACTATGCCTGACAAAAAGAGTAAATAACATTCATTCCGTTGACATTTGTCGACAGCTAAGTTAGCTAGCTAGCTAACTAGCAGGCTAGCAAGGCCAAGCATACATTCAACGAACTGTCGGCTCCTTTACCTCGTTGATTTCCTCCTCCGACGCCTCACTGTCCTCCTCCCCGGAGTCGTCGTCCTCCTCCGGATTGTCGTCCGAGCTATTTTCACTGTCCTCGGGATTTTCACCCAAACCTACTGCTCGTCTTTTAGCCGATGAAGCCATGCTGCAAACATGAAACACGCGTGTCAACTAAAAGTGGGCGTGGCGGAAGGGGGGGCAAAGGCTACAGTTCAGCATTAGCCGGGTAGGAAACTGAAGCGCTGAAGCCGCCATATTGGCTCCAGTTGTAATTGGCTTGCCGCTTACCGAAACGACCTTCGGAGCCGCAATGTCGGCTCTTCGCCTTGAAGTGAAACGGAATAAACCATTTTCAAACGGGGATGGAAGGTAGTTAAGCTGTCCTAAAGTTCTGCGGTGATATGGGGAATACGTATTTCTAGGACAAAAGATAAATATTGATACCTATTTAAGGAGTAAATAACATATATAAATCTAATTGTACTTACATTTAGGTTTTTGTCTAATACACCCGGTTTTGTCTCCCCTTCGTAACCGCGGATGATGTCGTCTGTATGAGCAGCTGGAGGTAGCTCTATTTTGTGCGATTTTTTGTCTGTTTTCACCTTGTTTTGTCATTCCTATCATTTTATCATACATGATAAATATATGAGTCGCTTTTGTCACTAAGTATTGATGATTGTCTCTGTTATTAGCTTGGCTACTGTAGCTAATCTGTCAGTTACTGTGTCTTGCTAATGTAAACAATAACACAGTCACGTTAGAGGTGAGCAGCAAGCTAAGGTTTAGCTAGCTACATACATACAGTTTCAACCAGAAAGTAAGACATTGTTGTTGACTATTTGCTGTTCAAATTCAGTCCAAAAATGGTGACTCAACAGCGTTGTTATCAGCAGGTTGCATGTGACAGTTTTAGGGTGTAGCTTAGCTTCCAATGCTTTCACACCCACTGTCCTCCCTAACTTTGGATGTGTCACTGCCGTATTCATGATCCACTTGGTTTGTTCTGTTGTATTCTTCTTTATTTGAGGCCACTGTGAAGATGCATGTACTACTGCTCAAAGAGCCAAGAGATGGAGAGTCTGGACTGGATCCTTACATTAAGGTACTTCCCTCTAAATCCATCAGTTTGTCTCAGGATGTTAAAATGTGTGTTGTCAGTACAGCTCTTATCTCAATCAACCTGTTGTTTTGATTCTAAAGGAGCTGGCATCGCATGGACACAAAGCAACCCTCATCCCTGTGCTGTCTTTTAAGTTTGTCGCATTAAACACCTTGTCAGATAAGGTAGATCCCATGGTTTCTGTATGAAGTTAATATCTGTTTCAATCATCTGCACATTTACGTCTTTGTGTATCTTTTGTTTGAGATGTCTTCCTGTTTCAGCTTTTCCAACCTGAGAAACACGGCGGTCTTATATTTACCAGTCCGAGAGCAGTGGAGGCCGTGAAGATGTGTTTGGAAGCAGAAGAAAGGAGTGAAGGTGAGAGAAGCTGCTGCTATGTCATTAATAACATGAATTTAATCTCATGAAACAAGCGTGTGTGTGAAATATTGTCAGCTCTGTGTGTGTGTGTGTGCATTACTTGGCTGCCAACCAAGGTTTGTACGTCATGTCATTTGTGATATTCTTCAGAATGGACCAAATCGGTGAAAGACAAATGGAACAAAAAGTCCATCTATGTGGTTGGGAAGGCAACTGCTGCATTAGGTGAGTCATTATCACATCTCTGAGCACATCTCTCTGTGGTTAATGATGATCTCTTGAAAAATCTTCATCTCTGAGCACTAAAGTTACATATTTAGACGTTTTTTGGTATTAAAATATTCCATCCGTGCCTTAAAACGGTTTGGCTGTAACCCTGAATCATCGCTTGCTTTAGATTGTGCACATCTGTGAAGTTCCTGCCTTTCTTGCTGCAGCTTGAGCACACCAGCTTGCCTGTGGCTCTCCTCAAACACTGCAAAACTGCTCTGTGCTACCTGATAGAAAGTTGTTGACATACACGTTCAAACTAGAAACTGATTCTGAAGAAGAGTAATAGAGGAAGCTCCACCCTACAAGTTGACAGGATTGGTTCCTGTTAGTTACATATGAAACACCAAATGTCTCAATCAGTCAACATTTCCCTTCTGAATGTCTTCCAACATGGTAAAAAAACAAGATGGCAAAGCTGCTTTTGTATGAATCCTTCTTTGTGCATTGTCCTCCTTGTAAATCGTTGCTAATTGTACCAGAGTGTGTCGGGCACCTGGCGCTCGCAGAGATCTGTGAAGTGAACCAACCACCTTCAGCTATTCGTTATACACAAGTAACGGTTTGCCGTGACAGGCAGTAAATGTATTTGGCCTTTAATAAAACGAGCACCTTCCTGACATGTGCTCTTTTTTCTTCTTTTTCTTTTTTTGTGACAGTTGACTTCTTTATTGTCAGTGTTTTTTATGAGTTGCAATTACAATTTTAAACCACTTTTAGCTCAATAATATATGTTTCCATCCTTTTTTCTGATTCCACAGTACAAAGTCTGGGTCTGAACCCGCTGGGAGAGGACACGGGGACGGCAGAGGTCCTGTCACGTGTCATCATTGAACGTATGGTGTGATTCTGCGTCGCTCACAGTTCAATTTAATTTAATAGAAAACTTCAGATTGTTCTGATAACTCGTATGACCTCATACTTGCTCTCCGTCGTAGGCGAGGACACAAATATTCCACCGCTTTTCTTCCCCTGTGGCTCAATCAAGAGAGAAGTCTTGCCCACGGCTTTGAGGGAAAATGGTAAGCATTTCCCCCCACTGTGCCTCACAATTAAAACTCAAGGTGATAAAAGTCCCATTGGGGTTACGCTAATTATAAAATAATAATTGCATTACCTTTATCACTGTGGGGATCTGTTACCAGGAGTGCCCCTGGAGACGCTGACTGTCTATCAAACAGCTGAACACCCCGATCTGGAGAAGAATCTAAAGAACTACTACACGGAGCAGGTAGAAGCCCCGTCCCGCTGCGTTTTACTTTTTTAAAAACTATAGCAACGAGTGCTTACGAGTTTGTGAACTTTCAGGGCGTTCCAGCGAGCGTCGCTTTCTTCAGTCCGTCCGGAGTGAAGTTTTGCCTCGAGGTGGTGCGGAGGCTGTCGGGTGAGCAGCTCGCTCAAATAAAGGTACGGCTTTTTCATAATTACACACGAATGATTATTAAAAATGCATATTCAGTGCTCCTGATAGTCATGTTTGTTTCCAGTTTGCTGCCATAGGACCCACCACACAAGATGCAATGACCGCAGAAGGCCTTTGTGTTGCCTGCGCAGCAGAAAAGCCGACAGCCGAACACCTGGCAGCAGCGATAGCTAAGGCCCTGCAGTGACCAGCCACGGGCGTTAACACTTGAATCCACCCACTTTGTTTTGCCTTTTTGTATATTCTTTATTATACATAAAAAATAGGCGACAAATCAAAGGAAGAAGCTGAACCGTTTAGCCCTACAGTGAGGGAGTCTGGTGACCTCTGGTATGTTTGCTGGCATAGTTTGACTGTCCTTAGTGGGAAGAACCACTGCATCTTATTTATGTGACATGGACCATCATCTCAGCCAGTGCTCTCCACCGCCGTCATAAAAATTAGGGAATATCTTTTGGAAGAATGGTGTTCCATCCCCTCAAAGGATTCTACAAACTTGGACAATCAAATATCAAGGCTGAAGCTTTACTAAGAGACTCTATTTTCCCTTTAATTTGTCATTCATGTGTCGTCACTTCTCTGTTTCTGATCTTTTCTACCGTTGTTGGACGCATGCTTGAGCTGTTTCGCACTGTTGCTTTTAAAAGCTGAGAATGTCTAAAATTACTATTTATTTGAAGAGAATATTAAGAGAGAGTCTGTAAGAGTTAAAGAGCGTGAATGTATTGTTTGTTTTTTTTGCCAATAAACTTCAGTCAGTGTGGTAACGTGGAAAGCTTTGTGTGTTTGTGTCTCCTGTTCAACGCAGGTCATCCTTAACCGCTGTTATTTTCCACATGGAAGTGAAGGCTTTAACTTCTTTCCGCAGGTCAACGACGGTCCACTTAAAACCGGCGGAGCGTGCGTAACACGTCCATAGAGCTGATTGAAAGTGAACAGTAAAGACAGGTTTGCTTTTCTCACAGAGGTGAGGAAAGCGGGTTACCTCCAGAGAGTCACACCTTTCAGATGGGTGTGGATTAACTGGTGGCCTATAAAGCAGCTCAGCGCCTCGCTTGCCATCATCTCGTCTTGTGTAGTCACAGGAGGAAACCAACGCCACGATGCTGACTCCTATCCAGCTGATCATTTTGCTTTTTTTGACAAACATTAGCGCAACTGATGCGGAGAAACTTTTCCACAATCGGGATCATTCTGATGTGCAGACGGTTAATTCTCACCAAGCTGAAGCTATAACAGACAAACACACGGCGGAGGTACGTTCAGTCTTTTTCAGCCTTCAACATCTAATAGATTAGACATTTTGTGATTAACTGTCTAATCTAACCCTTGTTTTGTTACAGCTATTTCTCTCTAGATACGGATTCATCAAGCCAGTGAGCTGGGAGGAGATCCAGTTCGAGGATTCGGACGCCTCTTTCAGTGGTGACTTCCCGGACGACCTTCAAGCCACGATCCAGGAGGGAACCTCAGTGCCACGTTCAAGGGATTCTCCTGATCGAGATGGCTTCAACAGTCACCCTGAGAACCAGGCATTTATCTCAGCACTTAAAGACTTTCAGAGGGTCTCAGGTCTGCCGGTCACGGGAGTGTTCGACGAGGCCACCAAGGTCGCAATGAACAAACCGAGGTGCGGCGTCCCCGACAAGGAGATCGACCTGAACGCCCCTGAAAACAGCAGCGACTCAGATATTGAGAACATTGACAGTTTTGATGAGACTGACAGCAACAACGCAGCGAGTAACATAATCAGTGGCACCTCTTCTGGTGCCGCAAATTCCTCTGAAGATGGCACATTAAACTTTAATGACACAGAAAGTCTCACAGGCATTTCCAATGACACCAGCATGAATTATACAAACGACTTTTCAAATATCACTTCACCAAACAGCTCGCGTGTCGCCAACACGAGCAGTCAGATGGTAAACATCAACACGCGGCGGAGTGAGGCGGCGCGGCGCAGGAAGCGTCACCTCGCCGTTCTTGTATCCAAAAGCAGGCAGAAGAGAGATTTGAGCGAAGCCGGCTACATGGCCTTTTCTAAGAAGACGTTGAAGTGGAGGCTGATCGGCGAAGGATACAGCAGTCAGTTGACCGTAGAGGAGCAGAGGTACGTCTTCAGGCTGGCCTTCCGGATGTGGAGCGAGGTGTCGCCGCTGGAGTTCGTGGAAGACACCAAGTCACCGTTGGAGGATGTTGATATCAGGCTGGGCTTTGGCACAGGTAGGGCTCAACCAATGCATGTTTATATGAGCAAATCAGTGGAAATATTATCCTGAAATCACTTATCTGTGACATTTCGTCTCTTTTTTTTTCAATCTGATGTTGTCCCAGTGCCACATTTCATCATTTACAAGTTTAATTGTAAAAAGTTTTTTTGTCAGATTTCTTATTTATGCAATTCTTCCACACACTGTGACAATCACTCATTCATGCTGCTGTTCATCCCATACTTAATTAGGCATGTGCAATATTTACGAATAATAATACTTAGCATTTTTGCTACATTTAACAGTCTGGTGTAATATTACAGTTGAACCTGTGACATTCCCTTCATTAATTTACTTTCAGTGCTTCATCTCTGCTTTATATTAACCCTAACCCTTATATTTATTATTCTATCATTTATTTTTGTATTTTTTTTCTACTGCTTGATTATTGAATATTCTATATTTTTGTATTTTAATATTTTCTTTATAGGAGCACTCTGATTTCATTGTATGTAGAGCTGACAATAATGACTTTCTGTTTCCGATTTTGATCCTAAAACACAATATCAGAAGACAGTTTCTGCTAAAGTACAATTCCATCTAAGTCAGTCACTTGGTAAAATAGTTATAGAAAAATTATAAACATAGATTTAAAATTCCAACTTGAAGGCGACAGAACAAAGTGCATCAGTAAAGCGATGAAATTAGTACATTTATAGCAGCTGTGGTATCCATTATTGGTGTTTCTCACAGTAAAGCTTTGTAAAGTAGTTGGATAACCTTTTTTTATTCCTGTCTCTTGTGTAAAATAACATACTGCACTGAGCAATCTCTAAATTCTGCACCACTCTTTTCCTCCCAGGACGCCATTTGGGCTGCAATCAGAAGTTTGACGGCACTGGTCAGGAATTCGCTCACGCCTGGTTCCTGGGTGATATACACTTTGATGATGACGAGCATTTTACCGCCCCCAACGCCGGGAGTGGAATCAGCCTCCTCAAAGTGAGCAGGCTGCAGCATGATGAAAGGAATCGCAGGAATAATCAGAGGTTCAGAGAACGCTCGTTCGCTCTAACGACACTTCACATTTCTGACCTGTTAGGTAGCCGTTCACGAGATCGGCCACGTTCTGGGTCTGCCCCACATCTACAGGCCTGGATCCATTATGCAGCCCAGCTATCTGCCCCAGGAGTCGGGCTTTGAGGTGGACTGGATGGACAGGAAGGCCATACAGCATCTTTATGGTACATGACAACAGCACCATCTAGTGGACACACAGAGAAAAACGGATCCCAGTCTGTTTACATTATATTATTAGACTAACACAAAACCTATTTGTTTTCCCTAATGTGCTTTTGTTTGGGCACCAGGGGGCTGTAAGGGCCGGTTCAGCACGGTGTTTGATTGGATCAGAAAGGAGAAGACGCCCTACGGGGAGGTGGTGGTCCGCTTCAACACCTATTTCATGAGAGACGGCTGGTACTGGCTGTACGAGAACAGGAGCAACAGGACGCGTTACGGTGACCCGGTGGCGCTGCAGATTGGCTGGCACGGCATTCCCACGGATGGAGTGGACGCGTACATGCACGTGTGGTCCAGAAGAAGAGACGCCGTTTACTTCTTCAAAGGTAGATACACAGACACAGAAAATGCAAAGAGCGAGTGACGAATTTGGGTTTTTTAGAAAATGCATTTTCTCAACAGGTACCCAGTTCTGGAGGTATGATAATGAGAATGACCGGGTGTTCAGACAGGATCCAGAAGGTCAACGCTATCCGAGGTTAATCTCTGAAGGGTTCCCGGGGGTGTCCGGCCCCATCGACACGGCCTTTTACGACAGGAGGGACTCCCGCATCTACTTCTTCAAAAACACCCTTGTAAGAATCACATCTTTTTCTTTTAGGGAGGTTAAAATGGAACACTTGGTTGCATTATAAGAGTGTAAAATATTAGATGAGGAATCAGGAAGTGTTTAAAAAAACAGGGCAGCTGTTGTTTCAGTTCACCAGCTGAGCAGAGTAGACTCATTTTATAGGACCCCAGACCCCAATGCACCCCGATAGCCAACAAAACATGCATGTAAAGGGTTTTTTTTGGCTTTTATGTGAGAGTGCAGTTGAGAGAGAGAGACAGGAAAGTAGGAGGGAAGGACCTGCAGAAAAGCGGGATTCGAACTCATGATGTCGGGGACTATAGCCCCAGGACGCCAGCTCAACCAAGTTAGCTGTAGTAGCGCCCAAAATGCATGTAAAGTGGGTTTTTTTGGCCTTTATTTGAGAGTACAGTTGAGAGAGAGACAGAAAAGTGGGGGGAAGGACTTGCAGAAAGGGGCCATGAGCAGGATTCGAACTCATGACCTCCATGTCGGGGACAATAGCCCCAGGACGCCAGCTCAACCAGGTAGCAGCGCCCAAAATGGATGTAAAGTTAATTAATTTGCACCAACACAGACCAGTAACAACTACAACGGGGCCAGTGATTCTTGTGATAGAATTTTTTCTGATGACTAACAAAATCCTGCTTAATCAAATTATCACAAACTAACATAGAAATCTGCAGCAAACGAACATGAGAGAGCTCTGTTTGGTTTTCATGTAATAAAGCTGCTAAACATGCACTATATGTCATGTCTGATTGGTGCTAAGAATTAATGCTCGGAGACAAGTGGACACATATTTAATACACATCAGGTATGCATTGCGGTGAACTTTAAATCCGGCTTAACTCTCATTACAACTCCTGCCTCCGTGTGCGATTGGTTATCTGACAGCGCTGGTTTGTAGAACAAGTGGCTATACAATAAGTAAAGTCTTGGAGAACGCCCAACCTAATGAATTGTTTCCCAGCATTGTGAGGCGAACGTATTCAGGCAAACAAATGCGCTACACCTCCGCTGTGATTTGTCCACATGTTGTAATTGAATAGACTTCTATATGAGAGTGATTATCTGTTCAAACAGGTGTATGCATTCGATGTGCAAGCCAACAGCTTGGCAAGAGGCTTCCCCAAAAACATCAGAGACGTGTTCCCTCCGGTGGTGAGCAGAGACCATCCAGATGGCAACATTGACGCTGCCTACTTCTCCTACACCCACAATGCCATCTTTCTACTCAAGGGCACGCGCTTCTGGCAAGTGGTGGGCAGCCGCGATCGCTGGCGCCGGCCCTTTCTGCCACGAAATGGCCTGCTGCCACACAAGGAGGTGGATCAGCACTGGTATGACATCTGCAACGTTCATCCCACTACACTCAAGCTAACCCGCTGAGGGGGCGGCGGCGGCGCACATGTAATAGATCATACACAAGTCTGCAGATGCGCTCCACTGATTCACCTGTCAGCGTGCATGCTGTCACGTCATCTAGCTTTATTTTTGTAGTGCTTGCTGTGTAATCTACACAAAAAGACAAAAACAAAATCTGATTTTTGTTGGCTAATTTTCACTCAGGTGTATTGTTGATTATGATATTTACGCTACTCGTGAGAATAAACACATTTGTAGCATATATACCTATATTTTGCACAGACACGTCTTTTTACTTAAAGATATATTATATTTATAACTGCTCACAGTCAGACGTGATGTGATTGTGGAGAAACGACACACTTACAAAAAAAAGGGGACGTTTTTGCAAGAAAAAAATTAAATTGATGTCAGATGCAAAAAGAGTATTTAGTGCTATTATGCATGCAAGAAATGGAAATCTGTTCAGACTAAGGGAGAGCGGCTTCCCAGCATCTGACGTTTAATGTTACAGAAAAAGAAAGGTTTTATGATCGCATCTAGATTCCTCGGATCACTTCTTCCGCGCAGTGCGGTGCTCGAGAGATAAAACCTCTCGCTGGCTTGATTGTCTTATATCACAGCTGCACTTAACGTATGGAAGTAGCTCACGTCTATAGCTGTCTGCAGGCATGAAAGAATATCCTGAATGCCCCGTCTCTATTCTGTCGCGATTCACGTCTCGTGTGCAGCGAGTCTTCGGCCCAGTGTGCAAGAAAACATCATAAGCTTTGTCAATAGCAACCTGGAGGAGGTGGAAAACAATTAGCTAGTGTTTTATTTCTTCAAATCCCTCCTTGTTATGAAAAGCGGGGTTAAAGATTGGCACGCTGTCAATCAAAGGAGGCCCCACCGAAATGTAGATTGAAGGAAAATGACTGAAAAAAAAAGGTGCTCGTCTTAGTATTTAATGCTGTTAAATTTTACAGCAGTCATTCGAGTACAATGCCAAGAAACGGCCATCGATTGTGTAATCAATATGTTACTTGAACACTCTTATTAATTTAGCTCATCTTAGGAGATTAAGCTCCTGGTGGGCTCGAGATAACTGGCGTTGTGCTGCAGGCGCTCCATAGGCTACATTAATAAATTGAAGTAGAAATCAATTACAAGCAAAGGAACAAAATGTCATGGTAAGTGGAGCTACGGAGAGGGATGTCATGAGATGATGAGTCTGCTCACGCTTTTACAGAAGCAGCTCCTCTTCCTGTGAAGGCATTACATACAGATAAATGTCCGTATCTGTCTCTATTTTATTTTATTTTTATTTTGTGATTCCTTTGTATCTTCTTATTTCAAGGATTTCACTGCACAAACAGGCCTCGTTTCTGCAAATTCCACATTTAAAGAAATGTATTTACAGGCGTATTATCACTAAAGACAAACTAATAAACACCGTCATTAAGAATGTGTTTGTTTGAATCTAATTCGCCATATGTTGGTTGCTGCAGTGCGTTGCCGCCTCGGTTGACATCTCAGCAGGAATTATTGACAGACTAATATTGAATCCGGTGCACAAGCTGATGCGGTGCAGTGGAGGCTTTTGATCTGTTTGTTTATCCCATTATGAGGCGCCATACATCTCCCGCACCCCGGAGTTCCCCATACAGTGAAAAATCCTAAATACAAACTGTTATTCACACATGCAAGGCCCCAACAGCTCAATGATCTTTTGCTTTTCTGCTGCTGAAAACTCCCTTCCCTGCACCTCGGGCCTCTTTGGATGCGACTGGGATAAATGAGATCAGTCATGCTGATGGAGCACGAGCTGCAGCAGCCCCAGAGAGATACAAAAACCTGTGTCATGGCACAGGAATCCACATGGGAGGCACTTCAGAAACTGGAGAATAGAATGAAACTCGGAAAAAAAAATCCCCACATTTCTTCCAAGACATGGAAATAACTTGCAGAGCTGTTGCCTCATTTCTGTCGCAAAGTGGTGAAAACATAAGGATAAATAATTTCTAGTGTTGCTCCAACCGGGAGTCCTACAGTAATGTGTTTTTTTATTTTTTGCATTTGCCAAGGGATTAGTTCAACAAACCGCTGCATGTAGGTAGTGTGCTGCATTTAAATGTACAGATTTTTGTCTGTGGGTTCCAGCCTTTTCATAGATTGTTGCTCCGTCTCTGGGGTTGAATTAATAGTGAGTTCAAGGATGATATTATTTTGAGTGTATTCATAGAAACAATGCCAGGATTTCCCCTGAGTTAGACACGATGTTTTGTTTTTTTTTCTTCCTGTTGCACCTTGTGGGAAGGCTGTTGAATTAAATTCCCTTTAAAATTGCGCTTTATAATATTATCCACAGCGTGAAAAGCGTTCAATCCCCTGTCTTCCCTCAGTGAAAGTGGTAACCTCATCAGGAAAAAGGGAATAAACAATTCCATTACTTTAGGAGTATTGATTAGTGGCAATGGAGAGGACTCATGAGGACCGAACGGCTTCCTGCTTCCCGGTCTGGTGTGCCTCGATACCGGTTCAGCCCTCGCTCATTATCACGCACCGGCTGATATTTGAATCCTTTTATTTTTCTGGTGTCTTGACATCAAAGCGCTCCAACACAGTTTAATCCCAGAATGGGCAAACTGCCATGTAACCCGACTGCATAACCTTCTCTGTTGACGGTTCATTGTCATAATGAACTAGTGCTTGATCAAAGTGCTCCTCTGATCATTGATTGAACCCCTAAAAACTCCCCTCTGTGTATCAAAGTTACACATTTAGAAGTATTTTCCCATTAAAATACCCTCCCTGTGTTTCTCTCTGGCCACCCAGTCTGCCGCTTGCTGGAGCTCGAGCACACCAGCTCACCTGCAAACTGTAAAACTGCTCCACACTGCACAATGACAATAAGAGGAATGATATAGAAAGTCCACCTGCAAGCAGACAGAGTGCAGTTTCAAAGTGTTTACAGCTTATTTTGCTCATGAAATCTCATCCAGCATCTAAAAAACGCCACAAAAGACGGCAAAGAATAAAGCATCAGCTGATAAGATATCCTGAATTGTGCTCCCTGTATCCTACACTTCTTATAATCTTCGCATCTTGTCGTTAAACCCTCCCAGCTTGATGCTCCTCTTGTTTTTCAAGGAAGGCAGATCTTTAGAAAGCTTCTCCAGACAGCGGGAGACGTACGAAGGCTGAGTCGAACTCCTTACAAACTGAGCTTCATGCTACATTTAGTGATTAACAAGCCAATAAAACAAAGCTGTAAATGTTAAGCGTTATTCTAACAGATGAAACAAGCAGCAGTAGTCGTCCTAACAGCTGGAGAACATATGATAATAATACACACACACACCAGTATTTTATCTTAATCAAGCTGCTCTACACCTCTGATAGGCTGCGGATTAGCCTGTATGCATAAGTTTACTGCTGTATTAAAATGTAAATCCATTAAGTTGGGCCTTCAAGCAGGTAAAGCGAAGACTATGAGGTTAACTCAGACAAAAAAATGGACCAGTAGAGGGCAACCTCAACACACAGTCGGTTCAATTAGCCCCCAGGAAGCTCCATGGGGCCTCAGTTGTCAGTCTCTTTATGAAGTTATGGCATGTTTGTGGTTTCTACTGGCAGCAATATTTGCCACGGGCGTCTGGGTTGCATCACGTTGACTTCTCCGGTGTGTCAGGTGTATTTTAGGAGCAGAATAAGAAAAGGGAGGATTCATCCCACAGACTGCAGGTGTCCCCAGTCGTCACACGCCTAATGCGGTAATGTTGACATGTGTGTTCGTGAAATGACAGGTTGTGGAAATGCATTTACCTGGGTATACACGCGCCGCGCTTCTCTGTGTTTGAAAGGGAATTTGTAGTCGCTGCCAAAGATTCCGCCGCCGCCGCCGTGCCGAGGTAGAGTGCGGATCAGCATTTATTCCGCGGTAATAAGCGTGGAATTCAGACTTTCCTGAAAAGCGGATTTTGAGTTGAAAGTTGTTTTGAGCATTAACTCTGAGTGGCATCGTTAACAAGGCTCTGGCTTGTTTACAGTGGTTCACAAATCAAGCAGTCTCTCACTTTAGTCAGCAAGAGACAAAATACACACGGGAGTACACACACAGGTGTGCACGCACTCTTAACGTGCACACACACACACACATGTGCACCCCCACAGGAATAACAAACTCACACTCATGAATGTTCCCCCACGCTCGTCTGCCGCCCGCCCGCCCGTCCTTTCTGCTTCTCTTTTTGCCCCCCAGCTGAAGAAGTTTGGATTAAAAGAGAAAAACACTGACTGATGCCTTCACAACTACCTCTCAATTTCAAATTCAAATCAATATTTCAAGAGCTTTATCATCAAATAGTTTCGAGCAAAGTGCTCCTCACTAAGGGTCTTTAATGTTGTGGAGAGGTAAATAGGATTTGGAATTCACAAACCCCAGCTTTCATGCTGTCATTATACCGTGAAGAAGAAGAAACTCTCTTTGTGTGATGGAAAACTGTGTAAGTCTGCAGTCAAAGCACTTCTCCTTTTTTTTCTTTTTCTTTTTTTTTTTTTGGAGATGACAGAACAAGTATCTTTGACTTTCTATCCCTTCTTGGTTAAACATGTAAGCAGGAGTTTCTATGCCAAATGGAAATAGTACAGTAATTACATGTCTTCTCTTGAGAATAGTCCGTGTATCAAACAGCCTAATTTGAATGAGGAATCCAAATCATGCAAGTGTAATTAAGCATTGTGTAGCCTCATGCATTATGCAGCATTTAGGTATTGACTAAATACCTGATAAACAAATAGTGTGGGTGTGGAGGAGGATATGTTTGTCATACCACAAGCAATCTGCCCAATAAACGCAGCGGGCCCACTAATTTGCCTCCATATGCGGCGCAGGAATCTCTCCCACCCGCTGCAGCCTGAACCATGACCTTTTGGCTAAGGAGGAGTTTTGGAGACAAAACAAGGGGCTTTCTGGCGATGTCAGTCTGAGTGGCAACCGCAGGTCACGGGGGGAGGGACGAGGCTGTCCCACGCATGGCCAC